TTTTATCAAAATTCTTATCAATAGAATGAGAAATATTATTTGTAAAATCAACAATATTCTCAAAAAACTGAACTATGCAAGACTGTCAGGAAAAAGTATAACAGAATTAATTAGATTTTCAATAATATTTGTGAAAATACTAGAGAAAACAAAAAGAAATTGTAGATACTTTTTTAAGATACTGCAAACGTACATAATACAATTAGTCAAAATATATTTGTAAAAGTGATAAAAAGAATTAAAGCTTCAAAAGATTTCATAAAGATTATAATAAATTTCTTTCAAAATAAAGAATTTTAAATTATATTTAAAAATAACTTTATAGAATAAATAGTAGCTGGAAATGGAATTGATTAAGGGAAAACTATTTTACTTTTTTTATAAAGAATTTTTTATAATCCTCTTTTTTACAAAATTCAGAACGATATACAAAGAGGATATAAAATATCAGTTACATAGAACTCTAATCTAAAAAAACAAACTACGAAAAGGCTAGAATCAAGACATGCAGCTATAGTTTTTAGGGATGATATAACATGGATAGCAAAATCTAAAAAAGATATGAAAAAGATTTTAAAAATTGTAAAAATCTTTTATAAAGTCAATGACTCTCAAATAAATAGTAACAAATCAGTTTTGATTACTATTAACAATCCTAAATGCTATTTAGAAGAAGTGAAAATAGATACTGAAGAAGAAATAATTAAAGAACTTGATAGAACAGAACAGGCTAGATTTTTAAAAATTTGAATAGGTAATTAAAAAACAACAATAGAGTTTAAAGAAAGAGTGTTTAAAAAAGTCAATATAATAATAAGAGTTTTTAAACATAAAAAGGTGATAGACAAACAAGCCTTTTACATTTTAAATAGAGTATTAATACCTAGGATAGAATTTAAAATGCAATATAGCATATTGTTTTGAAAAATATACAATACTTTGACAACAACATATAGAAAACTTTTCAAGAATAAGAATGGTTTATGCAGATCTATGTTCAGCAGCATAATTCATTATCCAAAGATCCATAACTTGAAAAGTATTTGAATTCTACAATGAGAAATCAAGTAACAGGACTTTCCAACAGACCAAATAATTCCAGACCAGCAGAGATCACAATGATTATTAAACTCAAACAAGCACAAATCAAAAATTGGGAACCACCCAATTTATTAACCTGCAAATCCTTAAGTTATCTAACAGGCAAAGATAACTTTATACTCCAGGTTTTTTTTAATAAGCGTACTTCAACTGATGCATCTACTTTATGATCTCGTCTGAATTTATCGACCTTAAGCAATGGGTTTCCAATCTTCCGACATCATAATCATTCTTGGTATTAAAGAGATTTCCGAAAATAAAATAGAAGATTTTTTAGCTTCATCTTTATCGTAAACATGCACGCACCATACTGTAATTAAATCCACATCACCTTGACCAAAACTTCTTACGACCGAAGTAAACATATCAAAGGTGTAGTTTAATTGTTCCGGTACATATTTCTATATCATAGTCGGAAAGTGAATTGTCAACTGGTTTTTCTGTTTGTTCATCATTCATTCACCAGTGTTTCAAGATAGGCTCGTGTTTCGTTTTCGAAACTAAACTCACAGATGCAATTCAGGAGTGTGATTAGTCTGCGGGAAAATAGCTTTATTAGCAATGGAGATGGATTCACGAAATCCATTACTCCCGACAATAATGAATTCGTGGGATCCTCGCAAACCAGGTTTACGAATTCATCATTTTCTGCAGTCGTAACTAATATTTTCCGAATACTTATGCCTTCCACCTGAAATGGTACGGTAAGTTCTTCCACCTTTCGGGTATAAAAAATAATCAACGGTCATTCAATAGTCGAATAACAAAAAATTAGCAATCTTTTAAATACTTGTTATTTTTTCCGGAAATTAACAGTTTCTTTTTTTCTTCGGAACCGAACTGACCTGCACAACCTTTACTCTTCTTCGTTAGTAATGCATGAAGAAAAAGAGCGTCGCGGATTTGTAAAAGGACAGCATCGTAAATTTTTCTTGCTACAAAAAAGATACATATTAATGTAAAGATGTAATAACCATGTCAGTATGCAAAATACGCGTTAACATGTTGCCTACTTCCATTATTAAGGTAGCAGCATCCACGTTCGAAATTAAATATACATCACTCATGTTATCCTTACATCTATTTCGAATATTACGACATCTAATATCAGCCGACTGATAGATGTTATGACATCGATGTCAGTATACTAAAATATGCACCGTTCATGTTTGCTCGCTTCTTTAATGAAGGTTATGGCATTCATGTTAGCATATTACGTACACATTTTCCTTGTTTGTCAGATGCATCTATCTTGAGGTCAGCTGGATGCAGATGTGACATCGATGTCAGTATACTAAATATGCACTATTCATGTTTGCTCACTTCCATTATGGAGGTTAAAGCATCTGTGTCAGTAAAATAAATTATACGTCTTCCATATTTGCCAATTACATCTGCATCAAATACCATAACACAACCGACATGCATTATGACATTATTGTCAGTCTATTAATTAAACATGCATTGCACGTGTTGCCCATTCCCATCATATAGGTTAAAGCATCCACTTCAGCAAATCAAATATACCTAACCCGCGTTTGCCATCTGTAGTTGTACATTTGCTAATGGTATTCGTAAGCTTTAGCATCAAAATTGACGTAAAGTATGTCTGACCTTCAAATTTTTAAGTCGTCGCCTGAATCACCTCGAGAATTCTTTCTTTTTTGAAGTTCTTTACTGTACAGACTGTACACAAGGTTGCGATCGGATGACACGAGTAGCTGATGTTTCTCTAAATACTCGAGAAAACTCAAACAACGAGTATTTATTTATGCGTCACAGTTATTTATGGAAAAAGATGTTTACATACTGTATTTTGATTTGCAATGGCTAGCCAATAAATAGATTTTCGACTAATTAGCAGATCAATATAAATTTACGGAATCGCCGTTTAGTCATCACAGAGTTCAACATAAGAATGGTATTTAAAATTTTCTCAAGTTCTTTTTTTTTCATTTGGAAATATTATTTTCTAGTTAAATTTATAAAAAAAAAAAAAAGCAAAAGGTCTTTAATTACAAAGTAATTAAGATAACTCTTTATTTTTTTTAATTATAAAAAAGGTATTCAAATCAATTTGTTTATTTATTATCATTGGTACTAACAAAAAATGAGAAATTTAAATCATCGATTTTCAAAAAAATTTTTTCTATAGTATTAAATAATTTTTGATAAAATTATGTTAAAAAAAAAAGGAACTTCAATTGAACAGTTATCTTATAAATTATAGTAGGTATTAATATCATATTCCTGCGCTATATAGTACGAATATGCAGTGTCGTTCCGTCTCGAAATCATGTCCAAATCAAAATGTAGAGAAAAAAAAAGCAGAGGTGGATTTATTTATTATACTTTTTGGTTAAATAGAAGAGGTAAGAATATTTTCGTACACATGGTTTCATGGATCAGGCCGCCTGGCGGGGGTTTCTCGGGGGACGACCTAATTCATCCGGGTTCAACTCCTCGGTCACACTAAGCTCGGTGTGGCCACATGGGGAGTTGGAACCCCCGTTGGATTTAGACACCTGGTCTTTTTGTTTTCTTATCCTTCGCATTCGGACATTTTTTTCTGATACTATAGTTTTTTTTTTAAAGCATAATTTAAAATTTAAACTATGAGGAAGAGGGGAAAAAAAAAATAGTTAAAATTTACACGTGATTAAACTTTGTCACGTGAACAAAACAATTAGAAATACGCGATAACGGCGGTTTTTATCAACGTTCTGTTAAATATGTTCTTTCCCCTTAAACCTTTTAACCTATCTGACACCGATCAATTGTATACATCGTTTCAACATTTTTTATTAAAAGTCTACTATGAGCAGGTTGGGGGAACGTGCATACTTGAATATCATTCACTAGGGAACGAGAAAATTTGGCTAAAAAGGGGATTCTTCGGAATTCAGACAGAAAGTGCGTAACCGTAAGAGAAGGAACTCGACACCAAATGCGTTCAAAAAAAAAATGAAGCTGAATAGATTTTCTTAATAAATTGAAATATTCTATATTCTTTTTTTTTTTTTAAAAAAAAAAAAAAAAAAAAAAAAAAAAAAAAGAATACTCGAACCCTCGTATTGTTTCTTTCGCGGTGAGAAGTGATCTCGAATTCGGGGTGTAATTATAATTTCCTATCAAAATTTCCTGATCCACATCGAAAAGGCATGTCTAAAATTAATTTCAGTGTCAAATTTTCAGTCAAGCGCCTTATCTTCTCCACTGTGATTCAAAGGCAGCCAATTTCAGGTTATGTCGATTCGGAGATTTTGAGAGGTCGTGGGATTTCGAACTGACAGATAATGAAATTGAAGAAATCTCCAAGGCCTCGTTTCATGGTGAGAAAATAACCAACCAACCTTAATTCCTAGTATGAGGGCCACGTGATAATAGTTGCAATTCCTTTGAACCGTGCACCCCAGGGGCAGTTATTATGGATGGTCCTGTTATCGCACTTGTATATAAAGATCACGCGAATTTTACCGAAGAGGAGTTCGGGGCATTCGAAGAAAATAACGCTCATATATTTTTATTGAAACCTTCATTTACGGGTGAGGATAAATGTTCATTGACCCTTGCAGCTCATTGCATCTATGGATTCTGGCAGGATCAATCGGATGACGAATCATTTCAGAATACCGAGGATCCATATGGAATTGTCGGAGTAGTGTATCGTCCCTTATACGAGTCAAATATTAGGATGGCTTGTTTTCATGAAAATCTGTCACCGTCGAAACAAAGCTTCGCGTCAAAGATTCCGGGATTCTACGCGAGAGTGACCACATGCGTGATGAGGTCTCGTGGGCAGGACACGTTGATAGGAACCGATCAAAACCAAGTTCTATGCTTCAGGGGTGATGACGCAAAACCGAGGTGGAGCACATTTATCAATGGGGAACCTTTATCGATGTAAGTATGCGACCCAATTGTTCGAACTCAACAAATGAAATGTCGATTACGATCCTGGCGAAATTTTAGGGCGGAAGTTCAATTGGATAAGCGCAATGCAGGATCCGAGTTCACGTTGATTGTTCGGATCGTAGATGGGAGACACATTATTTTGGATGCCGAGAGTGGCAAGATCTTATACGGTATGCATGCGCGATGCCAAATTGGCTTACCAAATTGTCAACCAGATCTGGACTAAACGTCGCATGCCATTTGTCAGAAATTCAGACAGGATTTGAACTCGTTGCCGGAGAGTTTTTGCATGACGGATTTGAAGTCATAATTAGGCTTCCGGGTTCTTTTAATTGCGACCCCTCTCATTGGGAGGTAGTTGATGTCCGGGAGTTCGGGGCGAGTGCCGTGTCCTCCGACGAGCCTTACGGTGGTATACACTCGCTTTACGTTTTTATCTTTCATGAGATTTACAAACGTCACCGGCAAGCACGCGCAATAAAATCTTCTACTTCGACTCACTTGTGCAGAGATACGAGTCACGGATTCTTCCCATATGAGTTCGCTCCTTGATTCACTTAGTACAAGGGTACACGACGGAACCGCTCAAATCAGAAAAATCGAAGAAACTGTACGATGAGAAAAAAAAAAAGTTTTTCCTTTTGCTGTGCGCCTTACATTCGCCTTGATTGATTGACCTTTTCCTGATAATCCACCAGTTAAATCAGAAACATGATCTCTTATCTCATTGTGATTCGTTGCTTGAGAGCTTCACCAACACATTCGCATTTAATAGCATACAACAAACGTCCCTTACCAAACGAAACCTGCGCGTCAATCGACCCATTGAAAAATTGATACCCTTACTCTCCGACACTCCGATGATGGTGTCATCGGATGAGATTGATGGTTACCTGCCGAGGGATCGAATGGAGCTTCAGGTGTTGGAAGCGAGGGCGGTTTGCGCGAGTATAAATCATTTCGATAAAATTTTTTTGGACATCTCGATTGTAAATAACGTCGGGTGCGTTATTTTTATTCTGTATCAACAAGTCGCAGTTGCATTAATCGCCGCCACTTTATTTATTGTGCTTATGTTTTTTTTTCATATCTTTATTTTTTATGAAAATCATTTGTCGCGTCGTTCAGTAAGGACCTCTACGCTATTCATTTGGTGGCTTATCCCAAGAACGTCTCTCGTGTTTTCTCATCCATGATAAGAATACATTCCCCGTACATTAATGTGCTTGCGGCCGGTCAGAGAGAGGATATATTCACCTTGATTGATTTGCCGCTCGATCCTCTCTTATGTGGTTTGGAGTTTGGTGTGATCATATGGTACCAGACCGAGAGTTCAACCGCGGATAGAAATCACGACGAACATGGATGGCACTCGATATACATCGAAAAGATTCTGTTAAACAACATGATTAAAAACGGTATTCCGGGCTTTTTTTTTTTTCTTCTTGTTTTTGCATTGCTCTCATGTTCATCATTTATTAGACTGCGCGACGACTTTATCTACATGACGTATAATTTTTTCGTTTCAGGTTTGGATAAATTTCATCCATCCATAACACACTTGATTATTGGCAACCCAATTTCTTTACATAATAAACCGTGGGACCTGACGATGCTCCCTTTCATACTGGAACAATATTTGGGAATGGAATCGGATTTCTTGGTAAGTTCACCTGAACACACATCGCATTCTATCTTGTCGGCATTTTTAATACCGTAATACTCGAAAATTCTAGAATAACGCGTCTCACGAATTTCGATCGACGAATGGGTCCTGTTGGTTGAGGTTGTCGCGACCTTATAAGAAATGCATGAGTTCCACTATACTTGGAAATGAAATGCCACTTAACATCGCGCACCAGTTGATGGAGATTCGGAGCCATAATGATAGAAATTTGACATTCATGATAAAAATATTGTGCAAGGAGTTGTCCGGGGATATCCTCACTTCAATTTCGTTTTCTACCTTTCAACATTTATCCCCACAAATTCGAATCCTTAACAGGTCATTGATTTGTAATACGACTCGTAGTTTCCGTACCTTTACCGCTACTCCATTCTGCCAAAAGCATTCACAGTCTTGATGATTTTTTATTCACCGTCGAAGATTTGTTGGAGGCGACAACCACTTGCACAACATCAAAAAAAGATATGGTCGTGGACAGGTGCATCAATATCAAACGATTGTTATGTGCGAGGCTAGCAAATTGGTTATTCGTCATATGACCTCGCTTTCGCTCAAGTGACAAAGATTTTTTTTTTTTTTTAAAGTTGTTTGATTGCTCATTTCATGTATTTTTTTTTTTCTTGTTTAACCAAGTCACTGACTTGCAAATTTTGATTTTTTTTTTTTTTGCGTAGACCGTAGGTCACATTGAATGTAAAATTCAATAATGTAGAAGAAAAAAAAGCTATCCCTATAACAAATATAAATCGCTAATATTTTTCAATTGTTTGCGCTCGGTGTCGAGAGTTGCAGGGTTAAATGTAGAAGGAGATGGCGTATTCGTGGTGTGGATTGTTTGTTCGTATCAATATAAGGAATCAGAAATTATTTACAACAATCAGAAAGTAAATGTAAATTACCGCAATTAAAGTAAATGACGAAAAAAAGAATATATATATATATATTTCTATATATATTTATGGTTCTAATCCACGCAAAACATCTGGTTCCCAGGAAGTGATGGAGGAAGCAGGACGCGAATGTGGAGGAGTTGGTGGTAAGACTATGGCTGTTGATGGGGATGACAGAGACGAAGAGGCAGAGGCTGATGAAATAGATAGTTTAGTAGGTGTAGATGGTAAACTGGTGATTTTATTGTTCATAGGTTTTCTGAAAGAAATCGGTGTTCTACAGAGTGGGCTGCAAGGGAAGGGAAAAAAAAAAAGAAAAGAAGTTTGATTAATGCGATCCTTCAGGGATAGGAAACATGGTTTATGAGGTATACCATGAATGCATCATTTTGGCGCAGTCAACGCAGAATCCATCGTGATTGCAGGGATTCAACCTAATACTCGGAGGCATGGCGAAGCAAATGGAGCACTGTGTATCAAAGTCTTCCTCGGTATCCACCAATTGCTGTTTCCAATAGGAACTCATTGACATCGACCGATAGCGTGAAGCCCTCCATACTCTCTTTTTTATTGAATCGCGTAACTCAAACGACAGCTGACCATGACTGTTGAGCGTCTGATAAGGTGATGGAGGTGGATAACTAAAATCAAGGAAATTGATTTTCTTTTGAGCGCTCGATCTTTGAAAGAATCAGATGGTGTTAGGCATCTTACCGAAACTTTTCGGCTCCAAAGTTGACAACAGCCTGCTGATATGAAGTAAATGAGAGGGCCGGATGCAATCCATGCTCCGCCAACTTTCGAAATTGTTCGGCGTTGAGAGGACTTTCGCCCAAATCTTTTCCATTCAAGTAGAACCGAACGAACCCAAGGCCAATATCCATATACACACCGACGACGTCGCCTACCATTTTTTCAATTCGAAAGTGTTGGCTTGCCATTCAAAAAAAAAAAAGAAGGAAGGAAAAAACGCCTCTGATAAACGATCAATACCAGGTTTCCATGATTCGGTTTCACCATATGGCATAGATACACCATTTGCCTGATTTAAATACGAATTGACTGTGGTGAGCGGCAGCAAGTAAACATATTTACGATGATGAATCCGAGAGATCATTACTCCTTACCCACAAAACATTTCTGCAACCATCGAATGCAAATCCATGCTGCACAATGTCAAATTATTCATTCGGTTATTAAACGCCGGGCTCACATGTATAACAATTGACAATTCAATATTACTTCTTACTTGATCATCACCAACGCCGGTACCCTCTTCGGGACCAAACATGCAACGTTTGGTCGCATACCCGATCTAGTAAGGTTTCATTTGGGAGTTAAATGATGACTATCTGGTTACAAACTTACTAAATATGGATTAGTGATGTGTACCTGCATGATTCCATTTGTGAGTAACAACACTTCATAAAACCATCTTCCTGAGGAAACCCCCATGGTTGCACGTATCGATTCAAATGTGGAGTTATCATTCCTTATCTAGCATGGGTCAAATGTGTAAAAGTGTGATTCGCCATCATAACTCTCCTCTTATGTCGATCTCGGTTAAAACTTACTTCTAACCCGTGAGGGGATATTTTCCAATGAGCCGTTGCATCCATGGGATTCAACATAACATTGATATTAGAATTTATAGAACTATCACTAAATTCCCATGAATCACCCTGAGATACAAGAGAATCGTTATCTTAAATAATTATAATAATTATACATATTTGTATACAGTATATAAATTAACATCCCATACCTTTTCGGATTCTGATAATTTTTCACCCCCAAAACATGGTCAGGGTGTGGTTAATGGTGTGGTCCGGGAAGTTTTATCCTGAAGTGATTGCGAAACAATTTTAAACGTCGAACATACCAAAAGTATTTTTTAAAGCCCATTCCACACAGAATTTCAGCTGCCCTCGACGGTTGATATCGTCTGTCTGACTTTCGACCGATTGTAATTCCTTGGCCAAGGATAACAAAATCTTATGTATATCTCTCCCGGATGAAATAATTTTTTCCTTATTTTGTCCTGTCATCCCAAATTTTTCGAGGGCTATCAAGGAAAACAGCCGTACGCTCGGGTCAGTGTCATGTTGGAGATAATCCAGTAGTGTATTACATACATTATCCGAAAATAAAGACAAACTGATTTCGCCTGAAAATCACAAACAGGTGATCAAGATCACGCATTCATTTTTGAGTGAACGAGGTTATCCTGTGAGGCAACTCACCTGCCAATTTTTCGGCGAGCACACTCCAGATAATGGCTGCATTTACACGTGTACGCTTCTTTGGCTTCGTTCGATATATGCCACCTGATGAAGTGGATCAGCGTTAAGAAATGAATCCTCCGAAATAAATATACTATGGCATGTCTGTAAAGCGATCCTTACATATACCAGGTCTGAGTTTCTGAAGTAGCCGGGTGGTTATTTTATGCGAGGTTTCTTTAGAAGGAAGTGCGGCGCTGTCTGTGAACATGAAGTAAAGAGGTGAATATCACTGCGAAAATTAAAGTGAAAATGGCTCAAATCGAGAATGAGGACACTGATGCACACCAATAATGTGGCACAAGAATGCAGATGCCATGGGCGCTTCTGAGAGAACATCCACGATGACCGTAATGAGTTCGATGAACTCATTTTCTGTTATTGTTATATGGATATACGCATATTTCGTTGAGTTAGAAAGGTAAAGTGGGAGAAAGCCTTCACAAACAAAAAAGGAAATAGAATGCGGCATACCTTCATGGGACATGGATATTAAGGTGTCGAGTGCCTCTGAAAGTTCATCGTGCTCACTTAAGCTATTTAAATTTTTCCAGGCGCTCCGAATAAAAGTCTTTCGAGAAAAGCGACTCAAGATGCGAAGGGCGAGTTTCTGCATCGAGATGTGAAATAGAAATCGGATTCGGTGTCTAAAATTGCAAACTTTCTGCCCTTATAGAAAAGTGAATTACACCACTAACAAAATCCCACTTGCGTTTGAAGTGCTATTATGTAAGAAACAAAGATTTTATTTTTTTTAACCGAGTTGCAGTATGTTACGTAGTTCATCCCCCAGTTGCGCCATCAAAACTTATTGCAACCTACTCGTGTAACCGGTCTAATAAGGTAATTGTATATGAAATATAAAAGTACGTATGTGCGTGCGTATCAGGTAATTCACACTTCATTTACTTTTTTATTATCCTTTTGCAACAATCCATACAGCATAATAATGTCTAACGAAGTTCGTCGAGCCGAAAAGCACAAAGCTAATGGAAATACCTATTTCAGCAGGAAAGATTATGACAATGCCGCCAGGGAGTACTCTGCTGCCATCAACATAAACCCTCGAAATTCTGTTTACTACACGAACCGCGCATTGTGTTATTTGAAATTGAAGAAATACGATAACGTTGTGTCAGATTGCGAGACAGCCATAAGACTGGAAGATATCTCGGTGAAGGGGCATTACATGTTAGGTCAGGCTTTGACCGAGAAAGGCGAATTTGAGTCTGCAATAATTAACCTAAAGAAAGCATATGACCTTGATGTCAAAGACAAGTTCTCCTTCTCCAAGGAAATCATCCAGGCCCTGCTTAGCGCTCGGAAAAAGAAATGGGAACAGGATGAGCGAAATCGTGCTCAATGGGATTCGGAATTTCTGAAGTATATCAAGGGATTAATTAACGCAGAGCGTGACAGACAACTTCAAAAAGTTTCCCTAAGTCCAAAGGGTACTGTGGCCGCCACACTCTCAAAATTCGTCAATTCGCATCCGCCTGATGTTCAAGAGAGAGTTGATTATATTAACAGGATACACAACGAAAGGCTCTCTCAGGCCGAACAAATTTTTGCACAGTCAGACGAAAATCTGAAGTCACGCGTTGTGCCGGATTATTTTCTGGACAAGATATCTTTCAATATCATGCACGATCCCGTCATCACTCCATCGGGGATCACGTACGAGCGTGCATATTTGAAAGAACATTTCAAAAAAATCGGACAATTCGACCCTCTATCTAGGTGTCAAGTCAAAGAAAATGAATTGTACCCAAATTTGGCATTAAAGGAGGCGACTGAAGAATTCCTAAGTAAAAACGGGTGGGCAGCGGACTATTAAAAGTGGGGAATGTGTTAACTAGCTATCCGGGGAGACATTAAATGCATTCTGACAACATTAACGGTAAAGTGTAGCAACTGAGCAAAGAATATTTTTGTTAACATGAACACATCATTAGTTTCTGTAAATCATAATTATATTAGAAAATAATAATTCATCCAATAACTAGAAGTTCCGGCATCATGTTTATTTATCTTAAAAAATTTTTTATAATGAAAAAAAAAAAAAGAACAAGAGGCGCGATCACGGTGAAATAGTCAACCACAAAGGAAACTAAATGGGAGCCAACCACCACCACCACTCCTCGTTATTTTTTGCTACTAGACTTGCGCCTACCCCTACTGGCCCCACCTGAACTGCGTCTGCCACGAACAGAACCCTCTCCAGCATCACCTCTTTTCTTGATGAATTTGTCCTTTGATAAATCCTCATCTTCATCGGTAGCAGCCTCTTCATCTTCCTTAGTTTCTTGTTCCTGTTCGACTGCCTCCTCAAAATCAGGAACCTCGGCAGAGCTTGCAAATTTAGACACCGAGCTAACCGCAGAGGCTTTAAGAAAGGGAATTGGGTGTGAGGAGGCGTTGTATCTGTAAAATTATGAAAATAATTAAATAAAGTGGCAAATTTGTTTCCTTTACACATAAATAAATAAATAAATAAATATATACATATATATATATATATGCACATAATAAAAAAACACTCAAGGTCTAATAAATATTAAACCGTAACTGCAATTGTTGTTACCTTCGGGTGAAGTTCGACTTGACGCTTTTGTCGATCTTTTTCAACGTCTTTTCGCCATCATTAGAACCAACGCCCAATTCAATTATCGCATCCCAGTCATCTTTACTGAGATAATAATAGTTCATGGACTCAATGATTCGATCAATGCTTTCCTGTAAGCAAAAAATATGTACATTTAATATTTATAGATATCGGTGAACAACCAACAAAAGACCACGCAAAACACATACCGAACCCTCATTGATAAGTGGAAGGGATAATGCTGAAAATAAGGCGGGGATATAATTCAATCGAACTTCACTCTTGTCGCCAGATATTTTTAATCGCATATGAATCTGTAGTTCTTTCAAGATTCGTTGATACTTTGAGGCCTTGGAATTTTGACCCAACCAACTTGAGTGAAATCATAAGTGAGGCGAATATTAATTACAAATCACATTGACAAAGTCTAATGCCGTCACGACAGGCGTACCTTGGAAACGCGAATTGAGATGAACTGCCACCATGGACGTGATATGCTGGAAGAATACAAGAAAACATTCCGTGAATCGGCATCAATGACCAATGTTGAGAACTAATTTACGAGATGATGGAATAAATTCGTATTTAGTTGCGCCAAGGAAAATTCTATCATTCACGCAATGACAAAATTTTCACCCGTGTATCATCCTGTCGGCAAGGTCCCCATCTGAAATGCAGTCAGCGGCTTTACTAAATGCTTCCATGGTGGCGATCTGTTCAAGGAGTTGAGGGTTCCCCGCGTTACTTTTTTTAAACTCCGAGGAACGATCTGGGCTGATTTTCAAATAATTTTCCTGGAAGAAGCGAGTCGAATTAAATGGCTATGCGAAATGGGAGAAATTCAAACTTTTGCGGTACCCACTTGAACCATCAAAGGTAATAAGTCAGATTCGAGAAAATAAAGATCCAACTTATCATTCAAGCTGGATTTGTTACGCGGATTCCACGTCGAAGCGCCAAGGATGGTAGCGGCGATGGTCCACAGGTTCATGCTAGTATTTTTTTCAAATGCCTTTCCACTGAAAAATTTTTCTTCATTCAATTAACAGAGTGCCTTTAACAAAAGATAATGCGAACAAAGATATACGGCAAATTTCACTCACAACTCTTTGACCTCATCGTAATTTATAGTGTCATGTGTAATTTTTAACGAAGAAAGTTGAGTTAAGACCTGACGAATGTCTGAATTGGCTCCCCTGACTAGTTCATCGATTGCATTGGACGAATTGAATTTAATCTTTTCCCTAAACGCATTAAAAAACTTTAAATGAAGTGTAGATCAAAAAGTCAATAACATAAGGATACTATTAGCCTTCGAACCTTGTGGCGATGGTCATTATTCTTGATCTAACTTGCTCAACCCTGGGTCTGATATTAAAATATCAATAATATCTTAATATCATCGAGAAAAAATATATCAAGTATTAATTTTTACATACTTTTGAAACCTAAATTCTTGGCACACGTTCAATAACGAACGCACTTTTGGAGAGACCCGATCATTGCAAATGCAAATAATTGGAACCTAAAATTAATTTACAGCAATTAAGGAAGTCTTGCAAAACTGTAAAATCAAAATAAAATAAAAGACGGTCACCTGTGTTTTCCTAATTAATTTTATAAGTTCCGCCATTCCACCTCTGTCTCCGGCAGACATACCGTCGACCTCATCCATAATGATTAAAATTTTATTTGCGTTCTGTCCATTTTCGAAAAAAAAAATTTTTTTCAAAATTCAAATGATGTAATCGAGAGTGCGATCGAATTGCAAAAGCGAACCTCCGAGTCCTGACTGGAAGCAGATTCATCATGAGCGAACCATGAGATAGATGTATTATGTGTAGCGATTTTGACAGCCTCCTGTTAATTAAGCAAGCATTATTATTATTGCTATCACCTTTCTAGATAAAGCACACAAATCGGTCATTAAGATTACAAGCAACTTCTTACATCCAACGCCTTTTTACTTCGTGCATCGCTTGCATTGAACTCCATGACATCATAGCCTTCGTTTTTAGCAACCAAATGTGCAGCAGTGGTCTACATAAATAATATATATAGTCTGGAAGAGAATAAAAACTACGTGAATAAAATCTTAATAGGCTACTTTTCCGATCCCAGGATTTCCGGATAATAACGCCGCGGGAAAAGAATTGTTTGTTTGAAATTTAAATCCTTTTTTACTATTTTCGTCCCTAGAAAATTTACACGGAAAATCAGAGAATCCCCCCAAAAATATAAACATGAAAACATATATTATAATATTTACCATGTGCTCAACCATCTCTGAAGGCCTTCAACTTGCGTCTTGTTACCACAAACTTCTTTGATTGATGTTGGCTTGTATTTCTCAGTCCACAATTGTGACGAACCAGTACTAGAAGGGTGAATTCAAGTTATTGAAACGGTCTAAATATCATCTAAAATTACGACAATATATAAGCATACTCCGCGCTAGAAGAGTCTGAGGGTGAAGAGGGTTGCAGAATTTTCTCCATCTCTTTTTCAGTGCTGGAAGGATGCGGTTTTGATTTTTTGGGGCTCACACCAGAAGATTCGGATTTCCCAGGTGATGTCTTGACGAGCTCTAATAGTTGATCTTCGGTTAGAGTTGGGATTTTAAGTTGTTTGACCTTTTCCATTTTTTTTGGACCAGGGTTATCGCCAACGACAACGTATGAAGTGCGCGAACTTGGACCAGAGGCGGTTACTTTGCTAATTGTGATATTGCAAAGTTAACATGGGCAAATAAATAAACATTATATAACACATGTGAGCTCGTACCCTCCATAACGTTTAACAAGGTCCTGCGACTCTTCCCGGCTGAGGGATTCCAAATCACCAGTAAAAACGAAAGTCAGACCCTAAACGTAAAGCTATAATTAAAATTTTTTATCACAAAATTTATATAGTAAACAGATAAACAGAATGTACTCACTATCAAACAATTATCTGCGCCAACAGGTACTTCCTTCGATCCAGGTGCTGATGGACCGGTTCTTTTTTGCAAAAAGTTACGGTAGCTTGATGAAAAATAAAAAACTTTGTTAAGAATTCCGAAAAAAAAAATTGATTGATGCATCAATGTTCGAAACGAATCCATTAAAAGACATACGAAAACCCTTTATTGGACTTTGATGATGATGCTTCGGGAGTATCCTTAGTGGGCTTGGATTCATCAACTTCAAATTCTGCCGACGACCGTGATGGCTTTCTCGCTGCAACTTTTTTAACTTTTTTATTTTCGATGTCCGTTTTAACATCAACATCTTCAAATTCACTTTCATCACTATCTTTCTTCGATTTCTTTTGTTTTTTCTTGGAAAGATGATCTTCCGTAGAAATGAATCCATCATCCTCATCATTAGACCTTTTCTGTAATTTTGATTCAATCTCGTTGGCATCAAATTCATTATCCTTTTCCTTCTTGATTTGTTTTTTCTTCGTGTCACTCTTTGACGTCGCATTAGTTTTTCTGGTCGAATGCTTAGACGTTACTGATTTCTCGGGCATGACTTCATCAATATCCATTTCCTCGTGATCAATATTCTTACTTGAATTGTCCGGGACATTTTCGCTTTGATCATCAAGATTAACTTTTGATTTCTCCTTAATAATGAAAAAATTAGCCAACGCAATCGCACCAATATAAGATATCAATAAACAGGCACATTGGTCATACAGATTTACGGGTTTTATTGTCACTTCTTGTTATCTTCTTATCCGAAAAGTAATCGCTCGGAGAAATTTCATTAGGAACTTCCTCAACCTTTATTTTTTTCTGACTCCTACCGAAAAAAAGAAAGTCGATAACAATCTCATTCCATAAACGCCGAATTGATGAAATTAATTACCTTTTCGCGTTTTTTCCCACGACCTCTACTTCCTGACTTTTCTTGATTTTAGAACTAGAACTGAATTGAATACCTATCAGTATTGTTGAGTATATACTATGTATCGAATTTTTAACACTTTGCATACCCTACTTCCTCATCGGACCCTGCAAAAAGGAATGTGAGGTCAATAAGGTTTCCGACTATGCGAACTAAACATTTTTTTTTTTTTCTCGATACTGTACCACCATTGACACGCCTTTTTCCCTCTCGTTTCTTCGGTTGTCCCTTGGTGACCCCGGTTTCCTAAACATTATAGACCGGTAAGCATTCTAATTAATGACTCTTTGAACTCCAGGAATGCTTTACCTTTTTCGCGTGTTTTTTGTTATCAGACGTTCCTTCGGGCTTATTAAAGTAGTTCCTAATGTCCATGTCTAAGATATTGCATATAACGGTATAAACGGTAAGGTGGCTTTAATATCTGTCACGATACCTTTTTTAATGAGGTTTTTTCTCTCGTACACGTGATGCCTGATCTTGAGGTTTTGTCTCGCTTCTCAAAATAATTTTCGCGTATACCATTACCATGGTTTATTAGTCGTACTTAAAACCGATTAGGCAATATAATAAATGAGGAATTACTTATTTTGTGTCGAGCAGTTTCTTTTTTACTTAATAAATAAGTACAGTATGTATAAAAAAAAATCGAGCAGTTTCTTTTTTACTTAATAAATAAGTATGTATAAAAAAAAAATTTTTTTATTCAAAATATTTTACTTATTAATAGAAATTTTTTATTCTCTATTAAATTAACCATGTATTTACATTTTATAAGTTATTAAAATTAAATATTTAACTTATTTTGATTTAAATAACTTTAAATATAACTTTAAAAATAATTTAATTTATAATTATATTATTATGGCATGTTTTTATTGAAATTTAAAATATTTATAGTACAGTGGCCTACCAATGAATTGTGAATACTTTTGAATCTTTAATTATACAATATCAGGTAAGTAATTATAATATAAATTTTTTATAATATGTTTAGTAACTCTCAAGGTACGATATATTAAAATTTCATGTCATGTGATTACGTTTTGCAGAAATTATGTAAAAAACAAGATAAATTACTATTTTTAGGTTGGCGCAAAAATCAATTTCCTTTTTTTTTTAAAAAAAAATTTTTTTTCTGATTTTTTCTTCTCAAGATCATTCATGACATCTAGCTAATATTATTTAAAGCAAAAAAAGGTAAGTTTGTATGACAGGTCAGTTAAATTTAATAAAATATGATTTTTTTTCTACTGTATAATGGATCGTCAATTGATGAGTAGCAAGAAGGATCTAACGGAAGCTCAATGAGTTCTATAGTCTATGGCCACTTACAAGGAGACTCACTTCGTGCTATTGCTGCATCATTGGTTGCAGCAAAACAGCTATGTGGAATATTGTAAAAAAGCTTAATAGTTTGGGTACATCTGAAGCACAAAAAAAAAATACCTGTTCTGGATGTTCTTCTTCCCTCACCCCTCTAATTTACTATATTTAAAGAAGCTAGTTATTAATAATAGTAATCGTCACTTAAATCTTACACAAATTACTAACCTCTTTAATAGTCAAAATAAAAAAAAAATTTCTAAGAGACTATTCGTCGTGCTCTATACAAAACAAACCTGCGTTTGTGTATTGCTACTCCAAAGCCATTAATCTCTCCAGAGAATGCCAAAAAAAGACTGGATTGATTCCTTGAACATGAAAGCTGGTCCCTTAAGAAATTTAAATGTATCTTGTAATCAAATGAAACCATAATCCATCTCTTTCAAGATTCCTCTGATCATATCTGGTATGAACCAAGTGAAAAATGGAAAATCGATTGTATAGGTTCTACTGTAAAGCATAGTCAAGGTTATATGTATTGGGGCTGTTTTTCTTGATTTGATGTCAGACCTCTTCCCCTAAAATCCAACACAACTGATGCATCGCATGTCGAAATTTTCTGAAAGTACTTTTTTTCTACGGAGAAAAACTTTCCAGGAAGAAAACGTTATGGTCGTTCAATCCTACAACAAGATAATGCCAAACCCCACTCTGCTAAAATAGCAAAGAAATTTATCACTCAACATCAGATTTGTTTAATAAATTGGCCTCCACAGAATCCCGACCTCAATCCAATAGAAAACCTGTGGACAGAAATAAAAAGGTCAGTTCGTTGTAAAGAAAAGAAGCCAAGTAATCTCAAAGAGCTGGATGCTCTTGTCAAGAAGGCATGGAATAAAATACCTCCTGAATATTGTCGCCAGTTGATTATTAGCATGCCCAATCAAGTTAATGTATGCATCGAGACTGAAGGGGGATCTACAAAATATTAGAATAGAAAATGTATATAAAAAAAAATCAAAAATAATGAAAAAAAAAAATTAAAAAGTTAAAAGTCGACTTTCGCTCTAATAACAAAAATGAAGTTAGTAAAGTTTTTTGTATAACTTTTGCATTAATAAATCAAATATTGTGAAATTTTAATATATTATACTTTAAGATTTGCTAAATATGTAATCAAAAATTTGTATTGAGTTTACTTACCCAATATTACACAATTAAAAAGTCAAAAGTGTTCACAATTCATTGATAGGCCACTGTATTATATAAATTTTTATATAATATTCAACTATTTTTTTTAATTAAACTAAATTGTAATTTATTAATTAATTGAAAATATATTGTAAGTATATTTTTATTTAAGCAACATAATATATGCTATAATTAATATTCTTAATTAAATCTAGTTAACTTGTTATAAGTATAAAATTTTAAAATTTGATTATAAAAAAAAATTTCATTTTATAATAAATTTTGAATAAATATTTTTTTAATCTATATATTATTGTCAATAGATTGTTATTATTATATATTCTTTTTTTTTTTTTTTTTTTTTGCTATACTTTATTGAAACTCATAAATAGAAGGAATTGAGTAAACTCAAATATCATATATCCAAATTTTCTTGTCTAATAAAGTAAAAACAATAAAAGATCTTCTTTAAGGGTTACTTTACCTTGTGGTTAGGTTACCTCTTTAAAGATTAGAGAATTAATGTATAGTCTTACTAATGCTAAACAAATTTCAAATACAGTATATATAAAATAAAAAGAAAGAAAAAATTATGTTCCTGATTGTATTTTACTTTTGGGGAGTTTGTCAAAGTTTAAGATCCACTTGACAAAGTTATGTTTGATATCCTACCAAGCTTCTCAAACTAATTATTCTAATAAATAAGAGGGTAAGGCTATATAAACTTAAACAGAGATGAAGATTTTGCATTACAAAAAAAGGTATCGAAGAATTGAGAGAAATGGTTTAATTATGTTTGACTATTATTTATCAATTCTAGTCTCATTTATTCTATATCCTATCTAGTATAGGATTTTCTATAGATGTTTTTTTGAGTAATAACAAGTTAAAGGTTTCATGAGGACTCTAGAACATAAGGGAAGTTAAAAAAAAAGGATGTTTGAGGTCCGTCATTTGTTAATCTGTTCTTCTTTACCATTGTGATAACACCATCCTAGAAAGGAGAATCTTAATACTTCTGATATGTACCCTGGTAGACTTAATAAATATTATGCTGTTTTCTTCAGAGTACTACCATCTATAGAGATTGAGCCATTGTCTATAGTTCTGGTACATTCTTTAAGTAGTTTCAGTTCAGCGACTACAAGTTGGTATTGATGATTAGATGTAAACAATCTTAAGATCTCCCTGATCTCTCAATAAGCTTGCGATAAAAGATAAGTGTGACACTTTTAAGGCATTGTTCTTATTCTATATTTTCTTGAATCTTGTTTTTATTTATTTTCCTAGTTGGGTGAGGAGGAGAGTATGTTTCTTCTCTTTCACTTCATTAATGATATAAGAGTTATCAATGTTTCTTATCCACTCGCACCATCCATTCAATAACTTATAGTGGATCTTAGGTTCTTATGGAGTTAAGGAAATGCATTTGAATACATAAGGTGATCAATGGGAGCTTGTTTACTTCTTTTTTCTGACATGTTTAATTGTATCCAATTACAGTATGAAAACTTTGTGTTATTCAAAATTCAGGGTCAAACTGAGATAGGCAAAATTCCCCCAAAAAATCTTGAAATAAGTACTATTATAGTCAAACTTGAGGAGGCAAGAAGTAAAAGTGGATCTCTTGTACCCACACAAGACTATATAGTATTTTTCTGCAGTGTGAGATGACTGTATATCAGTTCTTCTTCCTTTCAAAACTTTCTTACTATTAGTAGAAAAGATAGTTACTCAACCTTTTCTGGACACAAGAAGTTGAGATTTGTGTGAAGTAAAATATAAATAAGAAAGGAAAAGGAGTAAAATAACTTTTGAAGATTAATTTCAAGTTAATTTAAGGAGAGTATTAAGGCTTTATTAGTAAGAAGGAACAAAATCCCTCTTGTGAAAGTCTTTTTTGTGTGTAGTTAGAGGATTAGTGAAAAGAATTTTTGATTAATCTTGTATTATTATATATTCTATTAAACTTTTTTTTTTTTTTGAGTATCTGTAGCCAGGCTAGGTTGTCAGTTTATTAATTAATTAAAAATATAAGTACATTTTTATTCAAGCAGCATGATACATACTACAGCTAAACTATTATTCTAATCTAACTAACTCATTTTAAGCATAAAAGTATCTAAGTTCAGTCTTGAGGACAATATTTCACTCTGTAGTGTCTTTGGGTGAAAACCCTTCTAGTCCACTGCATCATTGCCAGCAGGTTGTCACTGCCGTATATCATATCAAGCCACTTAAATACAGGAAACTACAAAAGGATGGGTTGAAAAAGGAGAGGGTGAAATAGATCCACGGTTTCTATTTAATATTTTTATGTTATATTCAATTCTTGAAGTTATTTTCTAAAAATCTCACAAGTTTACTCAGTAACTATACAGTATATTTCATTCATATCCCTGTTTGTCTATATTTATACATATAAACTACTTCTCTATACTATGTATACATTAAATAAGTGCTATATATATCAACTATTCATTAGTATCTATCTATATATGACTAGTTATATTGATTATACTATATATATAAGCACTACTTTTTCAGAAAACTATGTAATTCCTTCTTGATTATTCCCAGCATAATTTTTATTAAGAGTAGGCTGGTTATCAGGCTATCAAATTTTCTTTATCCTGGATTCAGTTTTTGATCCTTCAAAGTGATCAATAGATTTTTCTTCCCACCAAGACCTCCTGATAATACTGACTATAAAAGTTCTCATAACTTAGCATATAATAGTCAGTGGTATCCTACCGGTCGATTAGATCTACTCTTCTTATTACCTTTTCCTAACTTATCACTAGGGGTAATATGATTAAGTCAGGATAATCCTAGTCAATTTCAGATCTTGATATTCA